TTACTGGAAAATGCCAGTGTCCTTAACAAGGTCAAACTTGTGTAGACACAGGGTTACAACATCGGGAAGGGGTGGGTGAGATATTACAGGCATAAAAGCACCAGCAGCTGCACCCACAGCACTGCTCTTCCAGAGGCAGGACCAACCAAAGATGCGGTGAGTCCACAGCTCTGCCCACTTTCCTTCCCTTTCTCTTGTTCCTCATCTCATCCTCCTTCGCATACCTCTCTTAGCTGCATGACAAGCCTACAGAACAGATGCAAAAATACAACGAAGGAATAGGGTAAATGGGCTAGATTATAGTGAACTGAAGGGCGCAGTGTGTTAAGTCCTCTGCTTTTCTGCACCCATAAGAGGTAATGCCTTCTGATACTGCCGTCTTTCTCAGGAGAAGTGACTTACTTTAAGAAATATCTTTTTTTCCTTGAGGTTGTAAAGTTGTGTGTTTTTTTTTGTTAATCCTCACCCGAGGGTATTTCTTCCATTGATTTTTTTTAGAGAGAATGAAAGGAAAGGAGAGACACAGAGAGAGAGAGAAACATCAATGTGAGAGAGACACATCGATTGGTTGCCTCCTGCATGTGCCCCAACTGGGGCCAGGGATTAAGCCTGCAACAGAGGTACGTGTCCTTGACCGGAATCAAACCTGAGACCCTTCAGTCCACAGGCAATGCTCTAACCACTGAGAAAAACCACCTAGGGCAGAGGTTGTGAAGTTTTCATCTTTGTAGGAGATGACAGTAGCTGGGATTTTAAATGTATTGATTAGATTTTTTTTCCTTTAAAAAATGTGTAATAGAAAGACCAATAGTGGCATATTTGGACGACACAATTAAGGCACTTCGATTTTATAAAAATAAAAAGACTTCGGAAATGTTGAAGTAGCCAGACTAGAAACTTAAGCAAGCAATCCCGAGGAGCTGACATCTGACAGTGAGATGAGTAACTGGCAGGTGTGGCCTGTGCACCGATGCCCGTGTCCGCTCTGCTGTCAGGGAGCCCGTTACCCTCCAGGGAACCTGCTGGCATTTTGGGGTTTGATAGACCATTTCACGAAGACAAATGATCACAAAATAAGACACACACTATATAAGTATTTTAAATGAAATATTTAAAGCCCTTTCCTTATGGCGAATTTTGAGAAGTGGAGAGACTGGCACAGTCAATCCCCACGTTCCCGGCTTCGCAGTCCACATTTTATCTGAGTGTCCTCGTAGCCTGGCACTCCGGAGGCGCCCAAGGGAAGCTTCTCCTTGCGGGAGAGCTCAGGTATTACTAGATTAATGCTTCCGAATGCTGCCGGAATTGAGGCCCACACACCCGTGTGCCTTCCTATCTTGGTGGCTCCTGTCTGAGGCTTATGGAGAATTCCCAGCAGCAGAGAGCTTGCTGGGCCTGGGGGAACTGGGAAGCTGTAAAGGATGTATTCGGTGGGTCCCAGTGCTTGCATGTGGCTGTTTTATTTCCTGGCTGCCTAAAGGGAGGGAGGTGTGTGTGGGGGGTGAAAGGGTGAAGCAGGGAGAGCAGCTTTGCACTCCTTCCTGTCTTCTCTCTGCAGCGCCCTGGGAACTGTCGTCACCCTCCTGCTCTGGGGGCAGCTTTTTGCAGTGGACACGGTCAGCGAGAACACAGAAAATGCAGGTAGGTCTTTGGGTTGGGCAGACGCTGTGCACCCCAGCGCCTGTTGTGGCTGACCCTGTGAGATCTGCACCCTTTCTTCAGGAGACCCAGATACCCTCTTCTCATCCTACTCGCTGGCCTTTCACTAGTGTTAAAACCTTGGGGAGCCAGCCAGAAATAAGGAAAGATTGCCCACTGCATGGCTTCCACTTGGGATGGAGGAAGGTTGACGTACAGAGCAGCTTCCTCTCATCTGACTTTTCATGGGTCTCTGAGAGCCATTTCTGAATATTAACCTCCTCTTCCTGTTTTTCTTTGCAGATGACAGCTGCCCAAAGGCCCCTGAGGTTGCAAATGGCTACGTGGAGCACTTGGTTCGCTATCAGTGTAAGACCTACTACAGGCTGCGCACTGAAGGCGATGGTAAGACCTGGACAAGTGTCCCTGTGCCCTCCTCATCCTGGCATTTCCATGATGAGTGGGGTCAGGGTGACTGGCTAGGAAATTCATGGGTTATCCTCAGAGCCAAGAGATGCAGATTGTAATAAGGGGTTTTGTCCCAGTGCTGTGGCCTTTTGGGCAAATTAACTTTGCTCAGCCTCAAGCTTTGTCTTTTGTTAAGGGTACGGGATGCCACATAGCCTACCCATCAGAGTGAGATCTACATGTAGGTCTGGCAAAGGATGTGGCAAAAGAACCAACAATGGTGATGGTGATGACACTGGAAGTCCTTACCTTCCTGGCACTGTTGTAAGTGCTTTACATTTATTTGCTCACTTAGTCTTCATAATACCCCTCTACAAAGATGCTATTATTATTACTTGCTGATGAGGAAACTGAGGCACAGAGAGGTCAGGTAGCCAGCAAGAGGTAAAGGCAGGATTTGGAGCCTGATCCCACCCTGCATGGCCTCACCATGACCACGGTTCTGTCCTGCTGGGCTTCACTAGGGCCCAGCACTTGGCTTCTAGAACAGTGATCCTCCCTTCCTCCTCTCCCCTGCCCCTCCCTCACCTTCCTTCTCCTTTTCTAATTTTTTTCTTTAAATACCTTCTCTCCCACACTAGGTCCAGACTGAGTTTCTCCTTTGGCTCATCTCTTTCCTTTTGTTGCAGGAGTGTACACCTTAAACAGTGAGAAGAAGTGGACAAACAAGGCCATTGGAGAGAAGCTTCCTGAGTGTGAAGCAGGTAGGAAGCTGAGGGCCAGGGAAGCAGACCAAGGACAGGCGTTGAGGGTTCAGTGCTTGGGCAGGGATATTGGTCGGAATGTCCTAGAGGCACATGCCCCTCCTGTGTGGCTTCTCCTGAGCATACGAAAGCCAAGACCTGGGACCAGGGAGAACCACAAATGGCTGGCAGGGAACTGAGCAGTTAGGTGATGATTCCCTTAAAAAGTTCACTAAGGTTCCTGCTTATTCAGGCCTGCAGGGCATTGACGTAACCCACTGTATACACTGCCCCCAGGACGTCCGGAGACCCTAAGTGTACAGACAACCCACCCAGAGAGCCAGGGTCCCAGGGTAAAGCCAGCTCCAGGAAGAATTATCAGGGAGGACGTAACTAACCCTAATCCAGGGAAGGATGACAGAAGGCTGGATGGATAGGGCTTCTGTTTCTTGTCATTAGGAAGAGCTATTGGTCTTTTTCCCTCTTGGAACAGGAGGGTTTTGCCTGCCCTCTTCTGCTATTAGTGGTGTGGAACTGCTAACCTGCCTTGTATTAATTGCAGTATCTGAGTTCTGGCCAATGCTACTATAGATCCCTCTTTATTCAGAGAGAATGAGTTATAATGAATTTCAAGGAATGGTGGACATGTCCTTGTTGTGACAAACTGTTGAATATACATACAGCTCATCAGCCAGGGTTTCTCAATCTCAGCGTTGTTTCTTTGGTGAGTTAGGAAAGCAGTAATGGAGCTCTGCCTTAGCGATAGAAACAACCGACGGTAAACACTGGAAACAAGAGGACAGATGGTAAAGCAAAGCGTGTAAACATGCCTGGCTCGGAAGAGATGAACAATGATCATGTAGACCGCAGTGACAGCCGAAGCTTTCCCCCCTCCCAGACGGGGAGATTCTCGAGTTTCTCATGATTTCCTTGCTCTCCTTGACAGTGTGCGGGAAGCCCAAGAACCCGGTAGATCAGGTCCAGCGGATCCTGGGTGGCTCGGTGGATGCCAAAGACAGCTTTCCCTGGCAGGCCAAGATGATTTCGCATCATAACCTCACCTCGGGGGCCACACTCATCAGCGAGCAATGGCTGCTGACCACGGCTAAGAATCTCTTCCTGGGTCATGAGGAAGGTGCAAAAGCAAAAGATATTGCCCCTACCTTAAGACTCTATTTGGGGAAGCAGCAGCTTGTGGAGATTGAGAAGGTGATTCTCCACCCTAACTACAGCGAGGTCGACATCGGGCTCATTAAACTCAAACAGAAGGTGCCCGTTGGTGAGAAAGTAATGCCCATCTGCCTACCTTCAAAAGATTATGCGGAAGTGAATCGCATGGGTTATGTGTCTGGCTGGGGACGAAACGCCAACTTTAACTTCACCCAGCTCCTGAAGTACGTCATGCTGCCTGTGGCTGACAAGGACAACTGTGTGCGGCACTATGAAAAGAGCACAGTGCCCGAAAAGAAGGAGCCCAAGAGCCCTGTGGGGGTGCAGCCCATACTGAATGAGCACACCTTCTGCGCTGGCCTGACCAAGTACGAGGAGGACACCTGCTTTGGGGATGCTGGCAGCGCCTTTGCTGTCCATGACACTGATGACGACACCTGGTATGCGGCGGGAATCCTGAGCTTTGATAAGAGCTGTAGTGTGGCCGAGTACGGTGTGTATGTGAAGGTGCTCTCCATCCTGGACTGGATTCAGAAAACCACGGCCGACAACTAACGTGTGCTAGATTTCACTCTGGAAGAGGGGAAACTGGATGGGGGTGGAGGGATAAAAGCTGGTGTGAAACCAATGGGCTCCAGCCCTGCATGTCTAAGGCAAACAATAAAGAGCTTTCTTTTTACTCATTTCTGTGTTTTTTTTTTTGGGGGGGGGGCAGGGGGGTTGGACCTTTTTATCCTTTCCTTTATGGTATAGCAGCAGCCAAGTGGCACAGCGTGTACTGGGAATGTGTCAGAAAACACTGCAGGCCGACTGGAAAGCCCTATGGTGGTACAAACTGTCCCACTGCCAGTCACACTCACTGACAGAGTGCCTACTGAGGCAGCTCTCAGAAAGGTCATCATTACCCTTGTTTTACAGACAGGGAACACAGACTCTGAGAAGTTACGCGATTTGCTTAAGGTTACGCAGCTATTAAGTAGCAAGGCCAAACCTTGAATCTAGGTCTGTCTGAATACAAACACTGAGCTCCTTGCTGCATCCTTATTTTTATAAAAAGTTTTTTATTGATTTCAGAGAGGGAGGGAGAGACAGAATCATCAATGATGAGAGAGAATCATTTATCGGCTGCCTCCTGCGTGCCCGCACTGGGGATGGCCCGAAACTTGGTTATTTGTTGGGACCAGGAATTGAACTGTTATCTCCTAGTCGATGTTCAACCACTGAGCCATGCTGGCTGGGCAATGTACTAAAGGTTTATAGCAGAAGAGTTCAGTTAGAAAAAGAGCTTATGGGAGTCCCTGAAGAGCATTTCTTTGTGAAATGGAAAACTCAGATGGCTTGCGTTTGTTATCGGTGGAAGTGGAGTTCTTGGGGTGCTGCGAGGAAAAAATTTCCCGAGGTCCCTGCGAGAGGATGAGGTTTCCTGGAAAGCTGTGTTAATGATGTAAAATTAAGGGGGTTCTCCTCCAAGGTCCCATCTCTGTCCGTCTCGCTGTGGAAGAAGTCCAATCTTGTCTTCAGCAGGGCCAGAATGAAGGCCACTGACCAGAGTTCCTGCTCCATATTAAAGTCCAGTCCAGCATCCGGCTTGCTTAGCTTGTGCTCCTAGCTGTAGTCCGCTGTGTGCGAATCTGCATAGCCAGAGGCCACTCAGCTGCTTAAGGCCACAGCAATGGAGAGCGAACAGGCGAAGGCACGGGCAAGCGTGGGTCATGGAGCAAGAGAGCAAGCAAGAGCAAGAGAGAAGGAACTCTTTGGGGATTTTAACCTTCCAAGATTTTGTGCACTTGTGGTGGCTCCACCCTCCTAGCCAATCCATTGCTCCCCAGGCTAGACTGACAGATAAGCACTTCCCCTACATCACCGACTTCACTGCACAGGCGCCCATCTCCCCCTTTGTCTGTCCACCTCCCCTTTTGTTTGATCCTTTCCCGTGATCTGCAGGGAATGGCATGGTGGTTCCCTGGGGAGCGTGAACCTGTAGTTTCCTGGCAAAGCTGCCCAGATGACCATGCTTCCAATGTCTGGCTTCCCTTTGGCTCTCTTCCTTTATTAGTATTAACAAGCTAAATATGACAAGAATGCAGACTCCTGTAGAGAGTAGGTTTCCTCCAAGTGGGGAGAGCAGCCCCTACGCTTTCTAACAATCCTGATTCTCTCTAGTCATGAGCCCTTGAAGCAGTTTTGTCTCAGGAAGAGGTGGAACTCTGACTTCTGGGAGAGCTCTGTTCCTACTTGCTAAGGGTAGTTAATTCTTTGTTTAGCTCAAATTGGGTGCTGGATGGTAAAGGTTCAAGTCTCACTTCCTGGGTAATTTAATAGCACAAAAGCTAGTAAATTTGCAAACCAGGACACTGTTTTCGAAGTGTGAACCAGGAAGGTTCCAAAATAAACCAAACTTGCCTGCTATCAGTGGAGAATTATTCATTCCAAGAGAAACTGGGATAATTAGGACTGGAGATCAGAGAGCATGAGTAATAGAAATATGTGAGTGGAGGAATGGGCAAGGTTGAGGGTGAGAAAGAGGTGTGTGTATGTACATATAGAGTAGAAAATAAGTATTTTTGCTCTTTCCATTTTACTTGTGTGTCAAATAAATATAGTTAAATCAAATTGTTCTAGCCAATGTTTAGGAAAATTCTGTATTATGTTAAGAGATAAAGAAAAGCACAATATAAAGAAAAGTCAAACAAATCATGCAGGGAAACTGACCACAGTTGACTCGACTGCTCTGAGGTTTGTGGGGAATAAACACGTAGGCTCCCCAGGTCATCACAGTCCCGCGGGTCTTCCACTCAGGCCAGTATGTTCTATATGAGTCAAACCTCTCTCCACTGGGATGCTGAGCACCTTTCCGAAGGATCCGGAAAACAGCACAGCTGCCTTCGCGTACCGTTCCGAGAAGGGCCTTTCTCTTCAGCTTTGACGGTAGTTAATGTGCTAAATGTCTTGATAGAGAAGGTCATATTTGGGAATATTCTTGGGATCAATTGGACTTTGGACAATAAGTTTTCCCCTCATTGCTCCTCGATAAATTACTTCAATCAAATCTATGAAGTCTTGTTTGGTTTTGAAACTTCCCACAAATTTAGTGTGATCTGGAGACCTAGGTAGCACAGAAGAGAAACAACCTGGCTCAGAACTTTGAATATTTACTTGCTGAAGACCTTCAGGGCAAACAAAACGAACAGTAGCTCTTGCTGTAAGGGAGACTTTAGCCATAGGCCCAACAATGATTTTTCCATTTGCAATTACAGGGCCCATTTGATATACGACTAAAACCAGAGCTGTGGGCATGGAATAGCACGTAAGCTCTAGCATATGAAAAGCTTCTGCTCAAAATGTATTTTAACCATTTCTCAACTCATTCTCAAGTACAATTCCCTGAGAACTGGTGTGGGCATAGCTTGTTTCATTGTTGTTGTGTTTGGCGAGGCACCGTGCAAAGCCCTAGTCGTGGTCTCCAAGTTCCAGTCACTTCCATTTCTGAGTAGTGGGTACTAATTTCTTTCCTTCTTCCTTTTTTTCCTTCACTATTTTGAACATCAAGTATGTTCATTGCAGAAATTTTTCAAGACAAAAAAAGTTGCCACATTTTGGTGTACATCCCTCCAATCATACGTACGTATATGTGTCTCTATGTGCATTTTTTTTCACAGTAATGGGAATTATATCACACATTCTATTTTGCAATGTGGTTTTTAAAAAACATATGCTTCGTTCAAAGTTAACCATGCATCTACAACATCAGAGTCAATTGGTATCTAGTATCCCTTTGTGGGCATCTAAATTCTAAGTATTTTGTTTCCTAAACAATGATGAAATAAGTATCCCTAGAGCCAATTTTGCCCACTTTCAGAATTACTTTTCTTCAAATAAATTCCTGGAAATGCAATTGCTGGATTAAAATTTTTACACACTTATAAGGTGTTTGGTATGTAATGTCATGGTAGTTGATGTGCTAAATGTCTTGACAGAGGTCATATTTGGGAATTCGCCTTCTGAAAAGATTACAGCAAATTAATACTTAAATGAACCATATTCTACCTTTAGAACATTTAAAACACTTAAAAGCATTTTACACCTTTCAAACTAATAATGACAAAGCAGTTACAAAGATCTAGACAAAGAGGATATCTCAACCACATTAAGAAAAAATAAAAATTATGAATATTTTCAATATAAATATTAAATACTGGGATGCTGATTGGGCAGAAGGCATTACAGAAGACTTCATGTTACTTATACTTGACAGGCTTTGTTGAAGAATAACTTCAACAAAAGAATAACTTCTTTCCTGGCAGAAGACAGGAAACTTGGCAAGGGAGGAGCATGTCTTAGTTTGCTGAAAGGAGTACTTCTTTTATAAATGCAAACTATCAGTCCTAAAAGTTTAAGAATGACATTTTGTTTTAAATGAAATCCCTGGGGAACTTGTAAGAAAGTGGTTTGATATTTTCAAGGCTGAAGGATGATTAGTGCTTCATAGCCTATACTATTCTTACATACTTAAGTAGGAAATTAAAATTTGCCAATCATGCCAAAATACTCATTTTGCACCAAGTTGCACATAAAAAAATTAGAGTATCTGTTGAAGAGACAGTATCAATAGAAGACTCACCTAGCCACCACTGCATGCAAATAGGTAAGTTACCGAAACTGCTGAAAAGGAAACTTATCGACTATTATAGCTTCATGTCAGCATAACTTACCCATAATCCACTTTCATATGCTGCCCATTGAAGAAAAACACAGTAGATGGAATATAACTGATGTCGAAATAGTGTGTATAGACTGGAGTTTGGTCCACATCCACCAGATATATAGCAGCCATTTTACTCAAGTCAGAAGAGGTCTTAGAAAGCTGCAAATGAGGAGAGAGATGTAGGTTGCAACATGAAACCAATGTTTCTGCTACAAAACGTTTTAATAGAATATTCTGTTTTAAAAAATTCCTGGGCCAAGAATCCAGCCTGTTTGAGTTCCACATTAGACAGTGTAACTTTATCATTCAGCCTGAATCACTATTGGCAGAGTTATCAGAGGGCCCTGGATAAATTATGTGAATATATTCCTTCATTTTTGTTCTACTTTTGATTGTAAAGTTTTTATGAACTTTTTATGGATTTATAAAATCCATGCTCACTTAAAGCAAAAACATAACAACTCATAAATATGTACTACAGACATCGAAATTCCCCCAAACGTTTTTCCTTATAATCTCCACATAAATGTTATATATATATAAAAGCACACACTTACATGGCACTATTATGTGCTACCCTAACTGCTTTCCACTTTTAACTCATTTAATCCTACAACGTTCCTATGAGGTACGCACTCTAACAGTCCCCATTTCATAGGTGAGGAACCGAGGCCTAGGGAGGTAATCTGCCCCTGGACACACAGCTAGTAGGCAGTCAGGTGTGGATCTGAACTGAGGGAGCTTGGCTTCAGAGTCTGTGCTCTTGATCTCCAGTGGTAGTCCTTCCTCCCTACAGCTGAGGTATAATCCTCTGGCCCTTACCCCATAGAGTAACACATCACATACTCATATTTAATCTCGATAATGAGGATTCTTACACTCCATCCATAGAGTGATGTCAGCAATAGAAATAGTGGGGTAGGTAGGTCTCTCTCCATAATAAACATAATAGTGACATAACAGTGACATCAGCAATAGAACAGAGGTCTTAGTTCTGGAGTGAGTCTCTCACCATAATAAACAGACACAAGAATAAACCTATTCTGTCCCAAACTGCCCTTCCTATTCACCGGAGTGTGAAGACGGGTGGTGAAGTCAGAGATCATCATCGGGCGCACGCTAGAGCAGCACACTAGTAAAGCAGATTTGCAGGCAGAGAAAACAGAGTTCAAACCCCCGCTCTGCAATTTCGTGGTTCTGTGCCTGTGGGACGTCACTTGACCTCTCTGGCATTCATTTCTCCCCTTGGGAACAGTAGTCGTAATGAAGCCAGTGTTGTGAGCTAATGCTCACAGATGCTTATTCATAATGTTTCGGGTCTTTCACTGCCTTGTTGGTGAAGTGGAGCTTGGACAGCTGCTAGAGGGGAAGGACATCCAGCACAGATTCGGCACATTCACAGGTTTAGGGGTTCAGCTCTTATGAAAGCATACTAACAACTGAACAGCTCCATCCCAGACCCTGCCTGCGTTCCTGCATGGACTTGGCAGATGTTGAAGTAAGAATGTATAGATTAAAAAAAAAATTTATTTTAAATATTTACTTACAATGTCATCTAGTTGCAGACAGACAGGATCCTCGTCTCTCCCAAACCTGAGAACCAACACCTTCTCTGCAGTGCTCTTTATTGCCTCGTCGACTTCTTTTTTGCTAGTCAGCTTGGGCAATAGAAAGCTCATCTTGAAATAATCCACTGAATCCCTCACTGTCCCTCCTGAAATAAAGTTGTGATGTTTAAAGGCAGATTAAGGGCATGAGTCCTCATTTTTAAAAAAATTAATTTTTGGAGTAGGTAATATAGGTCCCCCAAAATGTACACACACTTTGAATAATTATAAAGGCAGTGTTTATTACAATACACTTCATTTTCAAAGTTGAGCCATCAGCTGTTATAGTGTAACACTATTACAGTGTTACATTTCTTGGGGACACACTGTATGCACGTTTTTTCCCCAGAGGAACACAGCATCACAACACAGAATCAGAAAAGTAAAAGGAACACAACCAATGCACAATCTGGTGACAAAGAAGTCCACCAGTTTAAAAAGCAACAATATAGAAAGGTAAAGTGTGAAAAATCTCCCTCCCTCTCCCTCCCCTCAACGGGCCTAGTCCCGCTGCCCCATTTCTCCCCACACACCAGGTAGCTACTTCCATTAGTTCTCATGTGTCTTCCAGAGTTTTACTATGCAGTCACTAGAAAATACCAATGGGCATTCCGGCTTCCTCCTTCCTTTACTCCCCCATTAGCCTTTCAGCCAGTCAGTATTTCATGCGGAAAAAAAGATGACATCCTCAAATTTGGCAACTGGGGGACTCCCATGAAGGCAGGATATAGGAGAAGAATAGGGTCCAGTGCTATACTGTGGGGTGAGTAACAGTGGGGTGCTGTTCCCACCCCTACACCTGGAGGAGTCATGGAAGGGAGTAGTGACCGGAATTGTGTGGTGGAGAAGGGAGCTGTGCAGGGGGTCAGCCCGCATTAGGGGATTCAGCTACTGCTCTCCCTCTGCCTAGTCCAACCCCCTCATTTTACATACTAGTTTGCTTATAGTTACACTTCTAGCTACAAAAATTAGGACTGGAAGCCAGGCCACCAAATCTGTACTCTACCGTTCCTTCTACTACATATAGTAAGTTCCCATGTTTATGATCAAGAAACTCGGGTCAAGGAGCTTTATTTCTGCATCCATCCACGAGACCCACTGATATACTTGATACTTTAAATTCAGTTCCGAAGTTGGCTAATGCTATGAGGAGGGAGGCTTTCTTTTTCTGTTTATGTGTGTGTGTGTGTGTGTGTGTGTGTGTGTGTGTGTGTGAGACAAGCCACATTTTAAGATATGAATTAATAAAACTTCATATAGGAAATGAAATTGTTCTAAACAGGGAAGCTGACAGTCAGGAGGGGACTTCATCAAATGTGAGTGGTACAACAAATTACTGATGAAAGGGAACGTCGAAGAGAAGATGAACCTGTCCCACCACCAGAATTTAAGCAAACAGCAACTCCTGTATGTTACTGATAAAGAGGAGGAAGGGGGGGGGGGGGCGCAAAGTTGTCAAAAGGGCGGGGGGGGGGGGGGTGGGCGGGGGGGAGACTGGATAAATGGGGG